GAATTGCATACACCTGATCTGTCTTAGGCCATTTTTACCTTGCTCAGTTTTTATATTTGCTTTTATACTTTTATGACTGTTTATGTCTAAATTTTATCTACCATGTTTTCTATATATACATTTTTCTTATGTTTTTTATGGCATGTTTACGTGTTACTGTAAGGTGACCTTGAGTGTCTGAAAGACGCCTATAACTAAAATGTATTATTATTATTATTACTCCATTATAATACTACAGGAAAAAGGACATTTTTTTTCTTGCTTTCAGGTTTTTATATTACCTTCAGCAGGATCCCACCAATAAAGTGACAGGAGCAGAAAGAAGTGTGGAGAAGACAGAGCTGCAAACATGGAGCAGGATAAAGTCGTGGAGAGTGTTAAACAAAAGCTTAAAGAGCATCTCCAGGAAAAGTCTACCTGGATAAATGAGGGCACATCGGATAGTCGGTCTCGATTTAACAGCGTCTACACAAAACTCTACGTCACTCAGCAGGCTCAGGATTCTGGTTCCATATCACATGAGATTCTTGATCACTTTAATGTCCCACATCTGCAGTCATCGTTTTCACAGGTGAACAATAAACAGATCGATTTCTTAAATATCTTTAAACCAGGAAGAATTCATGTTCAGCAACAAGCAGCAAAAGAAAAGACAGTCCAAAGAGTGATGACGAAAGGCATCGCTGGCATTGGAAAGACATTTGCTGTCCAAAACTTTGCTCTAAGCTGGGCAGAAGGAAAATCTAACCAGCACATTGATTTCATCTTTGTGCTCCCCTTTAGAGAGCTGAACATGCTCAGAGATGCCGACTACAGTCTGCTGCAGCTTCTCCTTCACTTCTACCCTGAAATAAAACCCCTAGAAGCTACACAGCAGCTTGTTCACAAGCAAGTGCTGTTCATCTTTGATGGTTTGGATGAAAGCAGATTTCCACTGGACTTTGATGGAGCTGTGAGAATAAGTGAAATAGATCGAAGATCAACAGTTGATGTGCTGCTGACCAACCTCATCCAAGGCAACCTGCTGCCTCGCGCTCTGCTCTGGGTAACATCCAGACCTGCAGCTGCCAGTCAGATACCTTCTAAATACATTGACCAGATGACAGAAGTCCAAGGTTTCACTGAGCAACAAAAAGAGTCATACTTCAGGAAGAGATTCAGCACTGCTAATCAGGCAGAAGAAATCCTGTCTCGTCTTAGAGGAATGATCAGCTTCTATTTCATGGGCCATATCCCAGTGTTTTGCTGGATCATCGCTGAGGTGTTTAGGAAAGGATGGAGTGATGAGAGGAGCCGCGGCATCACAACGATGACAGAGCTGTACATTTATTACTTACTAATTCAAACACAAAGAACGAGACAGAAATATGCAGGGAAAAGCTCCAAGAAGAGGTCCAAACAGAAGAAGTCTCAAGCCCAGAACTCTGCCATGCTTTTAAACTTGTCCAAGTTGGCATTTGAACAGCTGCAGAAAGGAAACATCATATTCTATGAAGAGGACCTCACAGAAAGTAGCATCGATGTTGATGAAGCATCAGTGTTTTGTGGATTTTGCTCAGAGATTCTTAAGGAAGAACGAGGCCTGTACAAGAAGAAGATGTTCAGCTTTGTGCATTTAAGCTTTCAGGAGTTTCTTGCAGCTCTCTACATGCACCACTGCATCCTGACGGACAACTTCAGTACTTTGAAGTCTTTCCTGGGTGTCGACCCGACAGATCTGAGCTTTCTGGATTTGCAGAAAAAGGTTGTGGATAAAGCCTTGCAAAGTGAGAAAGGTCAGTTAGATCTGTTTCTGTGTTTCTTCCTTGGATTTTCTCTGGAGTCCAATCAAACAGTGCTGCAGGGTTTACTGCCACAGGTAAAGAGCAGCTCGGACACCACCGAAGAGATGAAGGGATACCTGAAGAATTTCCATGTCAAAGACATCCCACGCGAGAGGTACATGAACCTTTTCCTCTGCAAGTTTGAGCTGAAGGAAGAGAGATTTCAGGATGACATCAGAATGTATCTGGATTCAGGAGCGAGACTCTCGACCATCGACTGTGCAGTGCTGTCGACCATGATGCAGATATCAGGGGAAGTGCTCGAGGAACTTGATCTGACAAAGTCTTATACACCGTTTATTGGGACTGAGAAACTTATCCAGCAAATGAAGAACTGCAAGAAGGCTGTGTAAGTAGTTTGAGATTGAAACAAGAGTTTCAATTCAGTAATTTGCTGAGGCTGTTTTTGAGGCTTTACTAACATTGCTTAGGATATGGATGGTAAATAGTAAATGGTCTGTATTTATATAGCGCTTTACTAGTCCCTAAGGACCCCAAAGCGCTTTGCACATCCAGTCATCCACCCATTCACACACTGGTGATGGCAGCTACATTGTAGCCACAGCCACCCTGGGGCGCACTGACAGAGGCGAGGCTGCCGGACACTGGCGCCATCGGGCCCTCTGACCACCACCAGTAGGCAACGGGTGAAGTGTCTTGCCCAAGGACACAACGACCGAGACTGTCCAAGCCGGGGCTCGAACCAGCAACCTTCTGATTACAAGGCAAACTGCCAACTCTTGAGCCATGATCGCCCCTTAGATGGAGGATAGATGGTGAATACTTGTAAAGGTAAGGAATAAAAACATAATGTCATTTAAAGTCTGCCATTTTAATATAGTGGAAATGACATATACAGTGCATATCGAAATTATTCACTGCACCTAATTTGTTCCAGATTTTCAATCCTGGAACCAGTCTCCTGGAGTGAGGCTGGACTCTGTCTCAGTCTGGAGTTGGCCCTGGTGAGAGGTGGTGAGCTGGGGTGGGTATCTTGGTATCCCCTTGGCTTGCTGCGTGTATGTTGGGGTTTCTCCCAGTGGACGAGAGGGCTTGTTCCCTGCACCTCCAGGTCAGTGAATGGGTCCTGACCGTCGTCTGCGCTTATGCGCCGAGTGGCAATTCAGAGTACCCAGCCTTCTTGGAGTCCCCTGAGTGGGGTACTCCACCTGGGGACTCTGTTGTCTTACTTGGAGACTTCAATGCTCACGTAGGCAATGACAGCGAGACCTGGAGGGGCTTGATTGGGAAGAACAGCCTCCCAGATCTGAACCTGAGTAAGCTTTGTTATTGGACTTCTGTGCAAACCACAGTTTGGCCATAACGAAAACCACGTTCGAACATAACAGTGTCCATAAGTGCATGTGGCATCAGGACGCTCTAGAGTGTGGTGTGCCGAAGAGATTCTGTCAAACTCAGTGGCAGGGCCCCTTGAGTTGATGAGGTTCACCCTCAGTTCCTGAAGCCTCTGGAGGTTGGTAAACTGTCTTTGTTGACATGCATCTACAATGTTGCGTGGAAATCAGGGGTGGTACCTCTGGTGTGGCAGACCAGAGTGCTGGTTCCCATCTTTAAGAAAGGGGACCAGAGGGTGTGTTCCAACTATAGGTGGATCACACTCCTCAGCCTCCCCAAGAAAGTCTATGCCAGGGTGCTGGAAAGGAGAGTACAGGAGAGTTCCCCGTATAAGCTGGAGGAGGTGGTTGGTTAGAGGGTGGTCTCGGTTTTGTGTTTAGGCTGCTGCACCCACACCCCGGCCCTGGACAAGCAGAACAAGATGGGTGGATGGATTTTTATCACATTACAGCCTTATTCCAAAATGGTCTAAATTTATGTTACATCTCAAAATGGTACACATAATATCCCATAATGGCATAAAAGTGAGCAAAGATTGCTTGAGGTTCTGCAAGTTTATTAAAAATCCAAATTAAAAGTATAAGATGTACATAAGTATTCACAGCTTTTGGCAACTTCTTGAGTATGGTGCTACAGGCTTGGCAACCCTATTTTTGGGCAGTTTCTCCAATTCTTCTTTGCAGAACATTTTAAGCTCCATCAGGGAACATCGCTCCATAGCCATTTTCAGATCTTTTGAGAAAAGTTCAATCGGGTTCAAGTGTGAAGAAAGCACAAAGCAAAGATTAAAGCCAGCATAAAGAGACTTTACAGTGGTCACCATGGTTTTCCCTCGGTCTCTACTGTAAACACCTTGTTGGTGTACTGCAGAAATGGTTGTCCTTCTGGTAGTTTCTTCTCTCTCCATAGAGCAATGCCGGAGCTCTGTTAGAGTGACCATCGGGTTCTTGGTCACCTCCCTGATTAAGACCCTTCTACTCCAATCGCTCAGATTGGCTGGGCAGCCAACCTAGTGGTTTCAGATGTTTTCCATTCACAGATGTCCCCATAAGCAGATGTCACGTGCTTATGGGGTCATTCAATGGTGCAGACATTTTTCTTTACCCTTCCCTAAATCTTGGGCTTGATAAACTCCTGTCTCAGATGTCTGCAGACAATTTCTTGAGCTTCATGGTTTAGTGTGTGCTCTGACATGCACTGTCAACTATGGGACCATATAAATAAGTCCTGATGAGATACTTGCGTCCTTTAAACTAAAACAGTGGTACTGGTTGCTACATACATGTTATGAACTAACATACCATTATTATAACAACCGCAGTGTCCTCTGCTGTTTAGTTTCTCATTACCCACAAAAATACCAAAACTCACTGATGTGCTGTTTCCACTTTTCTTCTGATTCTACAGACTCAAGAGTGAGCATATAAGCAGTGATCGATTAAGTGTGGTACTCTCCATTCTTGAGTCAGCAGACTCTTTCTTAAAAGAGTTACATCTGGTGTGCTTTTCTAACTTCAGTGATGATATTCCTTATGATCTTTTGGCTGTAGTGGAAAGTCCGGACTGTAAGCTGGAGACACTGAGGTTAGTTTAAAAAACTGTTTCTGCAAGTTATACTTCTTTTAGTTAAATAATTTAAATAAATTTAACTGTCCTAGCTATAGTTTTTCCAGCTACTGAATTACTGGCATATATTAGCATTTAAGGTTTATAACTAATATATGTTTTGCACAGGTTATCTGGGTTTTCGCTAGACTTTAGGAATTGTCACATTCTGACCTCAATCCTTCAATCAAAACAATCACCTCTGAAGGCCCTGGACTTGACTAACTGCCTGTACCGTCAACCAAAGGATTACGGTGGATATTATACAAGAGAGTTGAAAATAAATGAAAACTATGAAGATTTCACTGATGAATTAACTCTGTTGACTATGATTCCTTCTGCTTTGATCGGTCCAGTCTGCAGACTGGAGCAGTTCAGGTAAAGGCAATTAGTGATGGGACCATCTGCACATTTTGCTCTCTTGCATATATGATGTTCAGATGATTTTGTTCTCTCTGCAGCATGCCTGGCTGTTACCTGAAAAATAAGTGCTGTCAGGTGTTTGCTTCAGTTCTCAGCTCCGACTCCCAGATGAGGCAGCTTGACCTCAGTTGCAATGACTTACAGGATTCAGGTGTGCAACTGCTCTCTGCTGGACTTGGGAGTTCAAGATGTAGGCTGGAAACACTGAGGTACTGATACACCCTCTGGTCTCATAATGTAGTTCACATAGTCACAGTTAAAAGAAAGCATACGCTGTTTCAATTCTACGGAGCCCCGCAGGGGACATGGGAGAAAAAAAAATTAAGACGGACTTTTGCGACATTCTTCAGCCTTCGACCTCCCGTTAGCTCGAAGCTAACGGGAGGTCGAGACCTACTACAGCCGGGAGGAACACCGCTTTCCCGGCACATCGTGCCTCAACCTCCCGGTCGGCTTCGAGCCGGCGTCCGAAGAATGCGGCTAAAACTTTTGCGAGATATCCCGAGTTAGTTTTGCGAGATCTCGCAAAAGTTTTGCGAGATCTCACAAAAGTCCGTCATAATTTTTTTTTCTCCCATGTCCCCTGCGG